TGAGTCATCAAAGAAACTTCTACAAATTTTCAATAATTGATAACTCAATATTTCGACCGGTTGTTTGCAAAACAACGGAGGATTCAGCTGTTTATAATAACCTAAACTACAAGTACATGACGAATGTCCCATTTAGCGGCGGACACTCTGTGTACGATGAGTTGCCAAGAAAAAATCGCGATAATTCGGCCGAATGTATTCGCCGGTGAGAGTCTCTCCTTTGCGTTTAAACGCGTAGTGTGCGTTCAATCGCCGAGACCGTACGTATTGTAATAGAACGGGCGCGCGTTGCAAAGCGGGGTCGATTTAGCCGAACGTTTATTCGCACGGTCATTACCGTTTTCCAAATCCCGGCGTAAATCGTAACGCACATTCGCGTGCACATGGCGCGGCTCTATTTAAAGGCCGATACCGCGCGCTTGAATTTACACCCGAGCACGTGTAGCCCGATTCCGCGGCATAAAGCGTTTGTGTGTCCATTCGGTAAGGTCAATGTCCACGGCGGCCGACCCTCCTCCTCCCGCGCAATTCGATGAAACATCTCGAAATATCTGCCTTTGCCGCTTCAACCACGGTGCGGTATTATTTACCAAGCTTCTCTCCCGGTAGCTTTACGAGTAGCTTGAAGGGTACGTTCCCTACTGCTTTATCCGTCAGCCTTGAGAGAAAGAAGCCCGACCGCGATAAGAGACTCTTCGCGTTTAGCCTCGCACGAATAACATCCCGAGATAAGCCCTACCGTGAATTCTTTCGCCCTATCTTGTCGGGTTAAAAGAAAAAGAAAACATTTCGACGAAGCGTCCAAACGAAAACGCGATATGTACACGCCGCGCAGCCTGCGATTTCTCTTGGAAAGTTTCACAGCTCGATCACGTGAAATCGAAATTTCATACTGCGCGCATTACTGCTTTGAGAAACTTTTGACACGATCAAACGAAGCGAGATCATAAACATCCGTCTCGCGGTTTAAACGTCCTGTAAGTAGAATGTATATTTTTCGCGAGAGATGTTCTCGATTTCATCCTCCTACAACCGCAAAATTCATGGGCGTTCACGTAGGATCGGGCCCGACTGCGGTGCGTTTGTCGCCTTCGTTACGACTCACAGGGTGCGTCGTTAACCGCCTTGACGTTTATCTGTCGCTGCACACGTGCACCGCGCGATAAACTAGGCGTACGAAGTGCAGCACTTCGCGACGCTACCGACCGTCCGAAATATTGGCAACCGTATAGCGACGCACTCGCAATATTGTATCTGGTATCGCAATAACCCGAATTAACGTCGCATCTCCGTGATTGATGCAAGCGGCGAGAGCCGCACAGTGCGGGGACGCTTTGGTTTTCGTCTCGTCTTACGGTCTCAGGCGATGCCGGCGAGATCGCGCACACATCAGCAGGTGTAACCCGGAGCCTCATCGGCAAACGAGCCTTCGTTAGAAATAATTAACGATCGTGCATCATCGAGCAATGTTGCCTCCACGTAGATAATCATACATATCGATTTGACACGACAGCGACGAAGATCGAAGCGCGTTACATTCCGGAAGATTTCAACTGTTGTCGATTGTTGACGCGGGGAATTTCAGGTCGGAAAAATTCGACACTTTTATATGCGAATTGTTTAAATGCGCTCCGAGATAATAAACACGCGAAATAACAGGAGGATTATTAAAACTTAAAACTCGATAAAACTTCTCTATTTTTATGGCGACCGATTTTCCTACCTCCTCGTGGCTGGTAAATTATAATAAATAATCAGACGCAGCTGACAATGCGACACGGTATTGCCCACGTCCCGACATCCTGCGCCCTCTGTCCTAGTTTTCCAATTCAACATCTGCTCCGGTTTGTTCTGTAATAGCACACCGGATACTCGGTCGTGGCACTGACACTGATATTCGCGTAGATTCGATCGGAAAAACGCGCGTTGATCGACACAATGCCGACGAGGGAGGTCTGATTAAATATTTTAAGAGCCGACAGGAATGATAATGAACGGGTCGATACGCGTATTTCGTGTCGTAGTGTGCGCGTGGCACGTCGGCTCGAGACTAAATGACTTGGCTTGGGGAAAAAGACGCGCGCGAATACCAAAACAATGAGCAAAAAGGGCTGCGTCATCTGCCGTCAAATGCCAGCCGTCGTCGTCCGCCACTGAACGGCCACCGAGTGATCAAAACAAACTGCTCTCGTAAATATTCCGAAACTCAGAGACGTCAGTAAAGTTATCAGAACGATGTGCGTTCAAAATTTCGCCCATAGTATTCGATAAATGTCATCAATATGCGATTGATAGCGGCGTTTCCGATCGACTCGTGTTTTCGCGTGAGACAATCGAATATCCGGCCGTGATGACGACCAGAAGCTGATCTCATTGATAGAATATAGGACGCAGGATGTAGCGGCAATCGACGACGACTGTCCTACAAGTTTTCTCGAATTTTTCTTTCAAATTCCATCGAAATTTTCCATGCGAATAAAACAAAGCGATAATAACAGAGAGATTATGAGGAAGAGTTCGCTCATTTCAATTTCATTCTTGTATTCCGTCAATTTCGTCAATTTGTCTTTATACAGATTATTTTCTTGGTATATATTCTATTTGCAGTTAAAACGCATAATAAATAGCTTATTGATACTGAAAATAAAGATTAAGTGTAGATGGGTCTTTAAGGACTTATTTACATTCAAGATGGAGGAAATGGGCAGTAAATAAGTATTTGTAACATCAAAGTAGGACGACAGTCTGTACAGTGTTATATCTCGAGACTCTTCGCTAGCCTCTCGAGTTTGACGGAATTTGCATGGTTAATGTGGGATCAAAATTTCGACGCGGGTAGCTACTATGTCGCACTGTATGAGTCAACAGAACGATGCTATTCAACGATATAACGTATTAATAAACGTCGCCATGATAAATATACATCTCTGGCCTGGCGATCGTATACGTCGCGGATCGCGCGGTCTATCCGGGAAGTTCTCCAATAAACTTGATATTAAGTTCAATTTGCTTTGCACCTCGTAAAAGCGGACTCGCTTGTAACGCCGGCCACGCGTCGGGGGAAATATTGGCAGTTCTACCGTGTTAACTAGATTTACATCGGATGTACTTCCAGCTGCAACTGTCGCCGTTACGTTGATGATATACACCGTCACGCGTGGATCCTTACTGATCGCGCGTCGAAACGAAAATTTCGTAAATTTACTACCCACTTTTCCCTTGAAATGGCACGACCAGCGTCAACAGATCCCTCCAGCACAAGTTACGCATCTCCGTGAAACGTTCCCGTTGAATAAATGTTTGCCCGGTAGATGAAAAGCCGGAAATCGAATCTACAGTATGTTTTCGAATAAAATGAAATATCGATCGGCGCATTTGCTGATTAAATATACAGTTCGGCGCGCGGTGGGAGAAAATAAAAAAGAGAGAGAGAGAGAGAGAGAGAGAGAGAGAGAAAGATAATAGACGTGAGACGCGCGGGAAAGCGAATTGTTCCGATTAATTTATTTCGATAAATAATAAAGATAAGACGAGATAATTTCATGAATATCAGGAGATTGAATTATAAAACTTTGGACACAGAATTATGCCATTGGGAAGAAAACGGAGGAAAGAGAAGGGGCGAAAACAAAGACGGAAAAAGCTAAGAACGTGCTTGAGAGAGCTTAAACCTTCGAGGAAGCTCTAGCTGGATGAGCTTTTAATTAAATTGAGAAGATGAGCCCTTAATGGAATATGAAGTTGCGTTTTAGATACGGTCGAAATTACACGGGTGCTTATATACGCGATAGAATTCTAGTTTTTACTGCGTATAAACGCGAAGCGGACAAAAGCCATAATTTACGTTAGCGTTGGCCGCCAGTTTAATGCGTATTATGATATCATATGCATTTATTTATAGAACAGTAATAACGCACAATGTTGAACGCAGCGATACCGCAACGCTTCTTATAATTGTCCACCTCAACGGCAAATAAATCTGTCTGTTGCATAAAATTATGTTTCTCTTGGCGTTAAATTTTTCTCCCGCTATTAATATAGTTCGTAGAAACGATATTATTGCACGTTTATAAGAAGATTACTGAATTACATAACCCTTCCTCCCATCTTTACCTTTCAGTGATTTTAGCGTCAAAATATTTCAGTAATGCAAAAATAAAAGAGATTTCATTTCTGTTATTGCATTGTGAGTCACCGACGCATTTCGTGCCGACGGCGACGTATCGTTAGCACCTTTGGTCGTCGCGCGAGTGAGAAGCCCACGGTCAGCTCAGAAGCTCTTTAATTAGCGACCCGATCGCCGAGAGAGACGCAAGAAAACGTGCTTTGGTGTGACCGGATAGCTATGCGAGCACTCGTGAACAGAAGCAGTGCAAACAATGTCGAATGACATCGACCCGTCCGACCGGCCGGCCAGCCGGTTACCGAGGGAAGAGGAGGGAGCGAGCGAGAGGAAGAAAGAGAGAGAAAGAGAGACGACGGGAGAGCTCAAAGCTCATCTATTATTGGCGCAAAACAGAAATAAAATGCAGTGCGACGGCCTGTGAAATCTACGAGGCTGACGTGCTGCCAACATTTGTTCTCTGTGGCTTTGGCTTCAATATTTTCAATTCCCGTTATAGTCCGCGCCGCGGGATTGCGCCACTTTCCCGTCTCGACTGCCCCCCTTCGCTCCCTATCCCTGGTGTTTGCACAAATGCGATGAAAACAAAGAAAAAACACGCTACATACGTGGCTACGCGTTCACACACACACACACATACATGTGCATGCAACATTTGTCGCGTATCGGCGACACATCGGCGTTGTACACTTTGCGAACGTTATTCGTTCCGCCGCTATTTAAATTCGAATTTTTCGTCTCGAATATTCCGGCGATTTAACAAAACTTCTATTATAAGTAATCTCTTTTTCAACAATCGTGTCGAAACTCCCCGTGTTTGAAGGAAAAGGATTGACGTTTAAAATGGAAAAATTGTGTAAAAAAAAAAAGAACTTACCACAGTGATGGGGTATACTGGGTTGATAATTGTGAAGAGTAGTACGTGATTCGGCTTGTTATTGTCTTCTCTGAAACAGTAATTAATACGTGTTATTCCAGCAGCCGTGCATGGCGGGCTTCGTTAAAGCTTCGCTCTAAGGCATACGCGCGGCCGATAAAATCGAGACTCTCTATCATTGGTTCTCTCGTCCGGGGACGCTCCAATTATTTAAAAATTCAATTACCGGAAGCTCGGTAACGGAAACGGGGGGCCTCGATTATCGCCGAGTTTGCGAAAAACGTCGAGAATAATAATTCACTCTCCGCGGGCACGGACGTCTTGCTGACGCCGCATAAAATTGCATTGATTGCACACCCCCTCCTCCCCCTCCCCCCTCGTGAAACTAGAAATATTATCTCCAGCTTCGTTTCCTCGGATTGAAAAAAAACAGTCCTCGTTAACTGCGCTCGCGAAAGCTCCGTTTATGAACATTACCTGTAACCTCGGATATCGTTCTCACGTTCTCCATATTGCGCGTTTAAAAAATCCCTTCTCTCCCGATATCAGTAAGCTAAATTATCTCGCGCAGAGCGGTTCACAATTTATACGAAAAAAAAATTGGAACATTCTACGCCGCGTCGTGGGTGATCTCCTACGAAAAATTTCCGTGAAATCGTCAAAGCTTCAAATTCCATGTTTCCTTTTCATTTAACATGCAAAATGAAGAGGTGCATATATGTCAAATACACACGAATATGAAGACGTATAATATATTTATGTATATAGTTTGTGCGGTACGGTCGACGCGTGGATTGCACGTGCATCGCAGGAACGCGGAGAGTTATTACGTCAAAAGTAGGGTATCTCGCATCCCCGACGCGGGGAAACTAAAGGGAGAAGCGAAACGAAGTAATCTCCACATGAGATTTGACGTGTTCACATGTTATACAGGCGGAGCAGCGGCAGCAGCCGGCACCGGTGATGGACGGCAGCGAGATATATTTTTCACGGTTGATATCGGTATATACATCTTATCTTCGTGACTCGCATCCAACATAAAAATCAATCGCTGCAATTTTCCCGCGAGCGAAACCCGTGTCACCTGTGTATGATGTTGATAGCCTGGACGGCTGAGTAGTACGGAATACCCGATCGCGTGGGTCGATGTAAATTGAATCACCTCGGATCAACCGAGCTTATTTGACTTTCCGGATTGTGATACGATTTACTATTTACACCGGGTTGCCGTAAAAATACGGGCGTAATTCTCGCTTAAGAGGACAAATTTGCTGAGCCGCATTCGTTACATCAAATTTTTATCTGACTTCGGTCATTCTCTTGTAGTCTCCGGTACTTAAAAAGATTAAAATGCAATAATTAATAATATATGAAATATTTACAAGAGATAGCTTTTTATATCGAGAGAAACTATAGTTATTTTCGGCCTCAACCGTATCATTATTTTATGGTTTTAACCGCAAAAATAGTAATAGCGATATGTAAATTTATTATCACTAATATCATAACGACATTCGTTAGAAAAATGGTTCTCCTGACTGTAATTCTTTATGATGATTATCATTAAAAATATTAAATATTTTTCCCTCGGTGTATTCGTACCCTTTTCCTACTCGTAAATGTTCGCCCACGAACGGCTCAAACGATTTAAAGTAAAAAAAAAAACACCATACAAATATCGCTTTGTCCCTATTTTCCTCTCCGTTTATCGCCAACTATTCGACATTATCTCCGGATTTTGCGATCGCCCACCGACTCGCCGGCTCAGATTCACTTCGCCAAGGAGTTATCGCGACTTCGCGGAGCGGATATCATTCGCGCTATCGGATTGCCCGCCGGATTGAATCGCGCTCAATGCTCGAGCTAACTTCTTATATTATTATACCTCGAACCGTAGAAGAGACGAAGAAGGATCAAACTTCGACGAGACCGGCTGCGTCGTTTTAATTAATTCCCGACGTCGCGATGTATAGGCCGCGCGTCTTGGCGTTTATCGAGCATCCAATTTCCACGCTCGAGCGTCCTCTTAAAAGCGCGTCAATGGTGTAACAGCGCACCCGGCACCGAATAAGAAAGTATTTCTGCGAGAACGGCCGTCCCTGCATCTCGAACAACGGAGTTAATCGCTTAATGACGATGTGTCGGCAAAAAACAAATTCAATCTAATACGCGAGCTCGACCTATGGAGCATTATTATTGATTTCGAAGAAAAAAGAAACCCTCCGGCGTACAACGTCAACTGTGAATTACGCGGCGATAACGTCTGTCGTTTTATCGAAAGCGACACAGCGGTCGGATTGCACGCGATTGATTTCAATGACCTCTTACCGCGTGAAGAGACGATTCACGTGAGAGGCAATCTCGCGAGTGGCGCCGATCGAGTTGCACAAGTTAATAGGTCAAAGAAACACGATACCGCGCGTCCAGGCGAAATTGGAATGACGACGCGCCGCCAATGGTGGAACAGTCGGACATTAAGCCCCCGTAAGAGAGAACCCTCTGCATAGTACCGATAAACTTACCGAGGAGCGATTAGATAAGAGTGACCCGGTCATCGCGAATGGCCAACCGGGAGCTATTTTTATCTCGCCACGGTCGCACGAGGGAATCAAATAACGCGTACGGGAGAAAAGTGCGAGAAACAGCCGGTCTTTCTCTCGAGTGATCCGGAGTGATCTTGGACGGAAGAGAAGATCGCTCCACGACTCTACTATCGTCTCACGAGCTTCTACCGTCGTTATCAGCCGCGCATGTGTCACGTCTAATTTCGTCAGCGCGTTGTTTGAACACATGCGATAGAAGCGACCTGCCGCTTGCATAGCTAACTAACGGTTACGCGACGACACCGTAACTCACCTTTTGCGACGTGGCTCGTCTCCGTACGCACCATACTCGTGGTTCTGCAACAGAGAAACAAAACGGGATATCGTTAATCCTCCGGACGATTCGGTGCACAAGCGCCGGGGCGGAAAGCATTAACGGATTTCATTTCGGTCCGCTCCCCACCGTTCGTTGCGCTCAACGAGCTCCCTCGAAAGTCTATCGCCGTCTCTCCTTCGCGGAGTTTGCGAGTCGAGAGTGCGAATTTCCGCCGGCGGCGTTTCCTTTTGACACGCGCCCGCACAGCAACACGTGTTACCGCGCTCCCCGTTCGTTCGTTCGCGGTGGAATTCGCGCGCGGCGCTTTCGGCGCTGAATTTCGACGGTACGCGCGATGTCACCACGGATGCGTGTGGCTCGGCCGGTCTATTAATACGCGTGCGCACGCGCGTCTTTTTACGACGACACCCTAAAGCGACGGAAATAGTGCAGCGAGACACCTTAGGGCTCCGTGAGGTACGACCGCTTAAAGTAAATTCCCGCGGCCGGGAATCTCCGGGGTCCAATTAAGGACTTCCGAGCGAATCTCGCGTTCCTTTCGTCCCTCCGGCCGTCGAGAAAAGAAGAAAAAGAGAGAGATAGAGGGCGCACTGGATCGGACGTAAAAATAATCCCGACTAGAAATCCCCTCCTCATCCCTCACGAAACTTTCCGTAATCTTATCCGAGTGTCCTCGTGAACGTTTCGGCAAACGATACTCTTTAAACGGCCGAAGATATCGAGAAATCGGCCGTGACTCGAGGCCGGCGTGTGTTCGATAAAAAGGCGCAGCGGGATTATCGACGAGACTGATCCATCTTTCATGGACCGCGCGCGCGTTCGACGCTGTATATGCCGCCGAATATAATCCACCTCGCGAAATCTCACGCCGCGCGCGCGCGAATGTCAATCCCTGAGCGTCCCGGGCTCGCGTCATATCGCGTAATGCGCGCAGCGGCCGGTGAATAAAACACGAGACGTCGCGCATTCGTACGGTATTGGCGTGACGTGTCGTGGACCGTCGCGGCTAAATCATTCATTCGCGCATTTTTCCCGCGGCAAACGACAAGTGAAACAGCGCGCGCGGATCCAATGATATTAATGCGCGTGATTGTCGTTCGGTTCCGCACTCTGTAAATTACATCTGATTAGTACAATTGCCACCGGCCGTCGATGCGAAGCGGAAGAAATGATTCGACCGAAGTCCGCGCGAACGATAACCGATTGGTCAACGATACCGGAGATATCCGTCCACGAGAAAGGCGAGATCCTTACCGCTCCCTACTGGGGAAAAAAAATCAAACGTTCAATTAGAAGTCGACGTTTTTTCCAGGAAGAACCGAAGAACCGAACTCGCGCATTCGTAAAGCGCTTGTATCGATGAGAGAAATGTTCCGAGTGTACCGTCTATCGCTTGTCTATAGCTTGCGTGCTGCTATGTCGTCTCTCGTGTACACATCGGGTCGTCTTTCGCGACTGCGCTGGCATTGTTATGTGATGCACGTAAGAACGAACTCTGGACTCGAGAATACGAGCGTGGGGTAGACAAGAAGCGAGACACGACGGATGCGTGACAAAAGCCGGGCGATCGTGCGCGAACCCGCAAACGTGCGTCGTTAATGAGCCGGCTTTACGAAATTAACCGGAATGGCGAAGATGACAAAGGCTGGCCCGTTCCATTCGTTCTTACGTGAAAGCCCCGACACGGTGTCCCCGCGAGTATGTATCGCGTTTTCGCTGGTGCGCCCCCATCTCGTTGAATAATGAAGTCGTAACGAACGCGGCGGAGTCGACAACGAGCGTTTATACTTTCTATCGCGAGAGCAGCGCGTCAGGCATGAATATTTATTACCTCGAAAAGAGTCTAATGTTGTCATTAAGTGTCTTCTGTTGATGGAGGGAAGGAATCTACATCGACCGGATCGCCGATGTCGCGTATCCCTCCTTGTCTGTTCGCGGATCTTTTCCCGCTCGACTTCGTCCCATCATCGCCGCGTCTAATATCGGTATTATCTAACCGTCATTAGTAACAGTCAACGCGCGTATATATTATTTGATTAATTATCCGATTCTCTCGTCATATCCGCGAAGACCACGTCACGTTGAGAATAATAAGATCGTGAGATACGCGCGACGGACTTAAAGAGCGTCTATTCTTCTTGTTGCGAAATGGCAATTACGCGAATGTAAAACGCGAACCATTTTTTGCCGGTTTCGATAAAAAGCGACGTTAATTAAATCTCGAAAGGAAAGGGGGAATCTAGGACGCGAGATTAATAGAGCTTCCCTCTCGTCGCACCCGATCTCGCTAATTATCCGTACTCGTGGCGCTGATTCGGATCGCTCGATCGTCGCGAGCTACTATTTGCCAAAGACACATCTGTCCGATCAACTTCGGCATCACTCAATTAATGGGATTGGAGTTTCCACATTCATTTCACGTTTGCCTTTAACTCGGTGTTGTACACCGAAAGAAGGATTTCGTAACAAGTACCAAAATTTGGTCAATATATGCCGACCAAATGTTTGATTACTGTGACCAAATAATTTAGTTCCGTGTACTGTACATGCAGTATTGTGTGTGTGTGTGTGTGTGTATAGTTCCGTACATCATGCTGAACAATAGACAATATGTGGAACTACAGTGTACCCAGAAAACTAAATTATTCAGTTGCAGTAATCAAACATTCGGTCGTATATATTAACCAAATTTTGGTACGTGTTATCAAACCTTTCATCGAGAAGATTTCTTCGAATTTAACAAATTTTACCGCATCCATTTCATCATTGGCATGCTCCAAAGAAACTAATGTTTCGATTAGCAAGTACGACCGTTAAACTTTTCAACGAAAATATGTACCTTCATCTTAAACAAAAAATTCGTTTGAAACGAAAGGCAATTTTCTTACAAAGAAATTATTTGTTTCATTTTACATACTTATTGTAACCAAGTAACATTTTATTCAGTTAAAAGATATTATTTCAAATAATAGCGTTCTTCCCGTTAAACAATAGAGTTTTCCTCAATGAGACAATGAAACTTTCACTCAAACAAACCATACATCGTATATGTTGTTTCTACGAAACAAATTTCAGTCAAATAAACAGAAATACCAAACCTAAAGGAACCTTTTTCTCTATGTAGAGCTGTGACGACGTCAGCGAGAGAGAACGCCGGTATCATCGGCCATCGCGGTAGCGTCGCCGTAGCGCACGAAAAGAGGAGCACTTAGCCAGAACGAAACACCGCCTATCGTTACGCGAGCGGCGAGAACGAGAAATTCGAGCGCGGCCGCCGTGCCTAATGATTTATCGTCCGCGATCGCTCGTTAATTCTTCGACGCTGCGCGGCGTCGCTGGGCCCTGCGACTTGCCAAATGTCGCGCGGCCGCGTCGAAAAAGAATATAACGCGAAGCGGCAAAGAATCCGCGCACGGGCGGACAGCCAAACAGCCGAGAGAGGGAATAGCCGACGCGCGTCGACGGTGTTCGAGAGATCTCCGTCGTCGCATCCCACCTATAACTCGCGCATAGTATCGCCGTTACGAAGCGGAATGCCGACGTAGATCCGTCATACGTTGTTATAAACATAAGTGTTCATTGGCGCGCGACCAACCACGTGCTTTCGCGCTCAATGGATGCTCCCTCTTACCGCTTTTCGCTCGAAGAAAAAAAAAAGAGCTGCCGAGGATGTAAACAGCGACTTTCTGCTCTTAAACTTGCATCGATCGAGTTCGGCACATTGAGAAATGGGGACCGTCGCTGAAGCTTTTTCTCCCGCGTTTTCGTGATTCTCGTCGCGTGAGCATAGGTTATAAGCGTCCCTTTTTGTTATCGCACGAAGCACTTAACAAAGATTTCAATCGTTGACGAATTGAACATCCGTCATTGGGTCGGGTAAATCTTTTTCTTTTTTTTCTTGAAGATGGCAGGGAGAAAAACAGAAGCGGCGGCAAGAGTAACGTTTCGAGACGTAAGAACGATAGTGAAAGCGTGCTTGCTGAGAAACGCGAAAATTATTGTGCTCTGAGGGACCACATCAGTGAATTCGCGACCGGCTATCCGAGATTTAACATCGCCTCGAGCACTATTAAGTTATTTGGCTTCTCATTTCAAGGACAAAAATTTGCTCGATATGAAGCAGGAAATTTGCTTTCGACAATGAAATTAAATATTATACATAAAAATGTGATTCTCTCTCTCTCTCTCTCTTTCTCTCTCTCTTATATTTTTATATTGTACAAAGAGTTACATTGTAAAGCTAGAATTAATTTTATATTAAGAGATTATTAAAAATTTTATATTATTATTGCAGTTTAATTTGCATTAAGAATTAATCGTGTATTAAATTTTATGTCATTTTATAATAATTTCATAATAACTTTTTAACTCGATATTTATCTTACCTTATTTTCATATCAGGAAGTTTTATAAATAGATCATTAAATCCATTTTGTAATCCACAGACTGCACGTATTTCATGACGATACGTTAGCTGTTAGCGTGAATCGTCAGAATGGTAAACCGAATCATGATACGTATGTGCTACTTGAGTCGAGTTGCGGTCTTGTTATCCTGGTTGTACGATGCAAAACATTTTCGAGAGATGCCGTGTGTCCTCGATACAAAATTAGGACGTGTCCATCGACTCGTGTCTGCCTGACAAGCGGATCTGCCTATTGAGTTGACCGTCCGTCAAAAGAGGAGACGGGCGAACCCATTGGGCCAATTTTCTCCGCCTTCTTTACAACGATAGATGATAAGAATCTGGACAATCGCCTGTTTACTTATTACTTCTATTTTCGAGACACACTTCCAATTTGTCAAGCGGTATCGAAAAGAAAAGAGAAGAATCTCCGAGTTTTTGTAAGATATATAAACACTTCTAAGAATATTTTTTCTTTACATAACAGAGATCTAGATATATGATAACGCGTTCTCAATCCTTAAGACTTTCTCAAATTATTCTCAGACCATTCTCATTAAACTATTCATATTTGCGTACAAGGCGCATCGCTAATTTTCCCTACGTAGACACGAG